GGTAAGTGTGGATGTTTGGGGTTTAGTGTTCTTGCCTGCCCATGCTGTGAGCTCATTCGTGGAGACTTGACAGTGCAACGGTTGTCCTGTTCCTGGGGTCCCGCGCTGTTGTCCTGGCCCAGCGTGCATTTGGCGGGGCTGGTGGGATGTTCTCGTGACTGGGGGGGGGCCCTGCTGCTGACAGGGCTCCATTGAGAAGGCTCTGTGTCCTTGCTGCTGAGTCAAGGGGAGAAGTGATGGCCCAAGAGAGCGAATCCATCTCCAGGGAAAAGAAATGCTGTTCCCTGGGAAGTAGGAAACTGCCAGGCTGAATTCCCTGTGTGAGTCAGAAAGAAGGGGCAGGGAGGTTGTGGTGGGGTCCTCCAGCTTCTGGCCTGCCACGTGCTGGTTGAGTGGAGATGCCATGTCCCTCAGCACCTGACATGCCAACGAGGACATGTGGCTGTGATGCTGGTGGAGGCAGGGGGCCTGCAGGGCGGCAGGGGCATTGATGTGAGGTGTAGGGAGTGGGTGGGAGGACAGTGGGTCTCAGTGACTGCGGGTGCTGGATGTAGCTGTGCCCAGAGCTGAGGGAAGCCCTGTCCCCACTGCTGGCAGCAGGTCCTGCTGTTCAGCCGTAATTGCTCCCCCTTCTTCACACCCCTCTTTTGCATAGAAGCTCCAGTCGCAAGGTTGGGCAGCATGGAGTGTTGAGAAGGGGGACTACTGCCACCGTGGCTCAGTGCCCAAGGGAGCCCTGGCTGGGAGCATGGGTGCTGGTGGAGGAAGAGTCTGCATTGCCAAATGAGACTCAGGCTTTTCCCTCTGTCTTCCTTGGAGTCGTTGTGCTAAGGAAGTTGTTCTCCCTTCCCATTCTTTTATTGCAGAGAACCAGAAGAAGGAGATTGGTGAGTGTTGCTGTCTCCCTGAAGGCCATGCATGCCAGCTAATTGTGAAGTTTAAGGATCTTCCTGGAATGTTGCTTGTGCTGTTCTGGCTGGTGGAGCCTTTGGTGTTGGTAGGAGAAGTGGTATGTTGAGGGAAGCCATGATGGGGCTGGAAAGCCTGGGCCACCAACCAGCCCTGGAGCCTGGTGGGAAAGTAGGTGATGATGGGGTATTGAAGAGACTCCTGCCAGAGTCAGAAGCATGTGAGATGCAGCTCCATGGACGATGCATCATCCATCATGCCAGTTTTTTTGTTGTTTCCTTGGGCAGAATGTCCCACAGTGGACTGGTTTGTAAGTTGTGGTTCTTGCCCTGATTTGGTGTCTTCTCTCACTGCCCACCGTGACTTGGCAGAGAAACTGCATGCAGAGTAGTGCATCTTTCTGGTTGCCTACATACTTTCATGCTTGGTGTCACTGAAAGCTGTACATACTTTGCTCTCCACGTTCCTTGGAAATATGTCACCTGAATCTTCAGGAACTTGTTTACATTATGAAGCCAAACCTAGTCCATGGGAATAACTCACAGTAGCTCAAATGGTCCTGTTTATAAATGCTGTATTCTTCTCACATCCTTTAGTCACCTCTAGCTTTAATGACTTGGCTATATGTTCATGTCTGTTGCCCTGTGATGTGCAAAAGATTACCTCCTATCACTTCTGCCTCTCAACCTTTCTAGTTGGAAAGGGTCCTCCTTGCACGCATAGGAAGAACAAGAGCCCATTTAGGAATGACTGTGAATGTCATGTCGATCCGACTGCATGGACACCTGTGGTGACTTCAGAAAGAGCAGGTTAAAATATGGCATTTCAGGATATGGCTGAACTTTGGTAGTAATAGAGTTATCTGTATCCAGGGTCATCCTGTAGTGCTACCAGGTACTGATGTCTAATCCATAGTAATGTTTTTTTTCTGTGCATTTATCTTGTTCCCAGTGGATTAAAGGAAAGAAATTGGTAAAGGCATTATTGTCTCTTAAGTCCTCTAAACCTAGTGAAAGGCGAAGTCTGAAGAGAGGAAGGAGCAGTTCTTCTTTTATGGGCCAATGAATTTAGAGCTTGTAACTTGAACTCCTGGGGCTTCAAAGCCTGTCCTGAGCGCAGTTCCAGGTGCACATCTCACACGTCTCTGTTCACATGCTCAGACATTCATCCACAATTTGATGTTTTTCACATACAAATGCTTACCTTTGAGCTAGTCCCTTAAGTTCACATCTCAGGACTTCATGATCCTACCCTGCTAGGTTGTCTTTTCATCTCTCACACATAAAAGCACAAGCTCAGCTGATTCTGCCCTGGCAAATATTTAATATTTACATGCTTGATTTGACTCCTCAGCAGCTTGGTTTATATAGTAGATGCTCTGCCTGCCACATCTTCTCCACCATCCTTCCCTGCCCAGCCACTAATGCACAAAGCTGTCAGAGTTTCACAGACTCAGAAACTCACCGGAAAGTGCACTCCCTCCTGCTTTTGGAGCATTAGGGAAAATTCACCCAACCTGTTCCTTTGTACCCACCCCCACCTGAGAAATTTATGAAGTGTGGCTGAAATTTATTTCCTTGCATGTCACAAAGGCGACTGTCTTTTTCTGTGTCCTTGGAAATGCTGGGGTGCTGGCCAGGGGTCTCACGTGGTTTGAAATGTGGAGTGTGGCTGGTGGGGCATTCAGGTAAAATGCTGGTAAAATAGCAAGTTGGGACCTGAGAGGGAAAGTAGTTCCCAAGCAGGAAACTCATCCCAGCTTCAGATCCTTCTTCAGACCTCACAGATAATCACAGGTATTGATTGAGAGAGCAAGAGGGAATTTGCGTATCAGTTGACCTGCATAGTTTAACCTTAGACTCAGTCTGAGATTTCCCAACTTGCAGTCAATGTTTGCACTTTGCTTTTTCTTACCTTTCTTCTTTTCCCCTCCCTTATTTCCTTTCAGAATTCAGAAAGGCTCGTGGCAATGCAGGTAAAATAATGTATTTAGTTAAGTCTCTACTCAATGGCTTGAAATGTGTGAATACTACAGAAGCAGTACTGAACATGGACTGGACTGTGAGTCTACAAATGCCTTTTATGCTGGTGATATGGAGGTATTTCACTTGACAGTGAAATATTTGAAAGTTAAAGTGTAGTTTCTATGTCTGAGTGCAGTCCTTCTTCACTCCAGACTTGGAGGTCTTTCTAGACTCATTGCAGGGAGATTTTCAGAACGAAATGCAGTACTGTACAGTTTCTTTCTCTTCTTGCATATTTGCTTTAGAGGAGTCTTTATAAAGTTCCAAATATCTGTTTGTTGTAGATGTCATTGAGGTGGATGTGGACACAGCCCATCCAAACTTGTCAATTGCTGTGGACAAGAAGAGTTTTACATATAAATCACAGGCCCAGAAAGTGACTCAAAATGAAGGGAGTTTTGACTCATCTGTCTGTGCGCTGGGCTCAGAAGGTTTCTCCTCTGGGAAGCATTACTGGGAGGTGGATGTTGAAAAAAGCAATGACTGGGACCTGGGAGTAGCCAGAAAATCTTCTCCGAGGAAAGGAAAAATGTCTCTGTCACCTAAAGAAGGATTCTGGGCTCTGGGCTTAAGTTTTAAAGGTTACTGGGCAAGAACTGATCCATGGACACGGTTAGCAGTGCAGAAAAATCCCAGGAAAATTGGAATTTACCTTAACTGTGAAGAGAAAACTCTGACTTTTTTCAATGTTACTGACATGTCTGTGATGTTCACGTTTAAAGACTGTGCATTCTCGGAAGAAGTTTATCCGTTCTTTAAAAATTCACACAAAGAATCAACCATGAGAATTAGTTCAGTTAAAGAGGAATAATTGTTTTCTAAGTGGTAATTTTGTTGTGACATGAAAGATCATATTATTTTCTTAGACAAATTTAGTGCTTAATTGCAATTTATGTATTGCACATTCTTGATCACAGTCTCTATTATGCATAGTTTAATAACTTAGCTTAAAATATTTTCCTTTCTGCCAGTCTTTTCTGTACGCGTTTTGTCCAATACTTGCAACATGCATGTGGAAGTGAGCTGTCCCATGCCATGATTTGATAAATGTATGTTTATCTCAAGAACAATTTCTGTAGAGTCTTTTTTCTGAAAATAATTTCATTTGTGCTGCACTGCTGCACTGTGTACTTAACGTACAAAGCCCAACTTCACATCATGAATTCAAGTACACCCCCCACCCCCAACAAATGCACAGCATCTTGTAAATGTAACCTCTCTCCAACACTCTTCCGAATGGAACTCTCAGAATTTTGGAGGAAAAGAAAAAAAAGTTTTAAAACAGAGTAATTTAAAACATAGAAATGTGTCTACACTTCACTTCTTGGGCAGAGAACACGCCATCTGTGCTGGAAGAAGAGTCTGAGAGGCAACGTAAATCGACTTAATGCAGTGCTCCATCTCTCTGTCATGCTTTGAACCCTTCTGGTAGAGTAAAACTCTCTTCTAGTGCAGAAATGGCCCCAACAGAGCTGTTTGCTCCACAAGACATTCTGAATCCTAAACTCTTGCCAGATAAAATGCAATTTAGTTGCCTAAACATAGACACCCATTGCTCTTTAAGATTCTTTAGGGCATCCAACACGTCTGCCCAGGGCTGGTCATACAGCACAAGTCTGTCCACAGTGGGAGATGCGCACCTTTCTGAAGTGGCAGCTGAAGATCTCCTGAGACAGAAATGTCAGTGAATGCTGAAGGATCCTTGTTTCCAAGCTGTCATGGTTATTTTCTGTAAACAGTCCTTTTTTTCTGTGGAATTTAAACTTACCAGCTTTTATCCTGTGCATCATGGAGATGGAAGATCATTTATTCCTTCCTTTTTGCATCAGTGATCTCAGGGTTATAGCTACATTCATACAGGGAGTGTAGACCTCAGTGGAGCCTGATTCAATACCCATCTTATTTTTTAATGAGGATCTCTGGTAAATTTAGAGTCAATTTTAAATCAGGATTTGAATCACATTAATGTTACATCTCCACCGTCTCTTTACATAAATATCTCGTGATACAAATCCCCAGTCTTTTCACAAGGTGAGATCCAGTCCGAGACAAAGATCTAAATGTAGGTGTCCACATATGAAGTAGGTACCTATGTTTAATAAAATGAATGGAGTTCTAAGTTGCAATTAAGTTACCTAAATATAGATGTTTAGTGCCAGTTCAGACCCCTCAATATGTCTGAGACTGGCAGAGATGACACAAGACTCATGGAAGACCCACGTCCTTTTGGGTCCCTCGGGCATTGTTTCCTGCAAATCTGTTTCTATCTGAAGTAAGTTTGAAGTTTTGTTCCTACTGAACAGAACTGAACATTGACACACAAAATACCCGTTGGACATAAAATCCAGATGACCAATGAGCAGACCGTTATCTGAGGAGCACACAACATGGTAATGCCCTTGAACCAACAGAAATCCCTCTAAACCCACGGCATAAAGACAGAGGAAAAGCAACCCGATAGACCAGCTAGGCTGAGTCTTCGTTCAACTCTCTAGCTATGAGAATGCCTCCAATATCTTGTTCTCTGTCATAAACTCTGTAACGTTACTAGGTACGGGGGTCTAACAGCATTGTAGTTTTCAAGATCCTTTCTAGAATCCTGTTTACAAATCAGATTTACCGTGGCAACCTGCCACTTCTCCAGCGATGGAGTTTTTCATAGTGTCAGATTACACTACTCTTCTTCCCATGACAATATGTCTTAATCCACCTCAGAAACAGCAAATACAATGGACCAGATTCTGGTAAAAACAAAGCTACCTAGGTTGCAGAATCGCAGAGTAAATTATCTTAGAAGAAATCTCTGGAGCACTCTACTCCATTCCCCCACACAAAGAGAGACCAGGTTGCTCAAGGGCTGTACTGGACTAGCAGCAAATCTGAGTCCTCTGAACTGCCCTTCCAGTAAGCCCCCATGAAGTATTTGGTGATTTTGTAGGTGCTGTTGTATATCTGGCTGGCCTCCAGCTGCCATGCCAGAAGTGGAGAGCTCTCCATTGGTCCTGTATCATATGTCAGGTCTGAATAGATATTTTCAGCTCCCCAGGACATCTGAAATGCCTGTAGGTATCTATGATTAGGCAGCTGAATGCTGCTCATGCTCAACACAGTCAACAGAAGAGTAGGAAGTGATCCCTGACTGGCTTTATCTGCCTAAACTGAGGCATCAAATTCTTGTGTTTGGGATCACATATGGTGCCTTGTCTCATCCCAAAGAGGGACACAGCAGCCTAAGATAACAGAGGGAGATAGCAGCCTCATCATAGCTTGATAAAAACAATCTCAGCCCCTTAATGTTATGTGTTTCTGAAGTCTACACATAGACGTGTCCAAGAGGTCATTCAGAAGAAGCAACTAGCCTAACACTATCAATTGTCCCTTGGAAAGGCCTCTCTCTCTTCAAAAGTTTATAAAAAACTCCACACTGTCCCTCCCTGTTACATCCAGATGTTTCAATGAAAAATATTAATGAGAGAGCTGAGTGTTGTGCTTTAACCCCAGTAGGCAGCTCAGCACCGGGCAGCTGCTCGCTCATTCCTCCACGGTGGGATGGGGAGAGAATCGGAAGCGTAAAGTGAGAAAACTCATGGCTTGAGATAAAGACAGTTTAACGGGTAAAGCAAAAGCCTCATGCACAAGCAAAGCAAAATGAGGAATTCATTCACTACTTCCCATCAGCAGACAGGTGTTCAGCCATCTCCAGAAAAGCAGAGCTCTATCACACGTAAAGTATGTTGGGAAGACAAACACCGTAACTCTGAATGTCCCGCCCTTCCTTCTTCTTCCCCCAGGTTTTATTGCTGAGCATGACATCATACAGTATGGGATATCCCTTTAGTCGGTTGAGGTCAGCTGTCCCAGCTGTGTCCCCTTCCAACTTCTTGTGCACCCTCAGCCTAATCGCTGGCAGGGCAATGTGAGAAGGAGAAAAGACCTTGACGCTGTGCAAGGACTGCTCAGCAATAACTAAAACATCCCTGCGTTATCAACTCTGTTGTCATCACAAATCCAAACCATAGCCCCATACAACCTACTATGAAGAAATTTAACTCTATTGCAGCCAAAATAAGGACACTGAATGAACAGAGACACTGGAAATGGAGAAGCCACAAATCATAGCTGTGCACAAGAGCTACTTAACCCTGTTAACATGGGTTCCGATGACTTTGCAGACCACCTCAGCTCTGTTCAGTGTCCCGATCATATGTAAACAAAACAATCACAGAATGGTCGTGGTTGGCAGGGACCTCTGGAGATCATCTGGTCCAACCTCCCCACCAAAGCAGGGTCACCTACAGCAAGTTGCACAGGCCTGTGTCCAGGCAGGTTTTGAAAATCTCCAGAGAAGGAGACTCCACAGCCTCTCTGGTCAGTCTGATCCAGTGCTCTGCCACCCTCAACATAAAGAAGTTTTTCCTCATATTCAGGTGGAACTTCTTGTGTTTCAGTTTGAGCCCGTTGCCCCTTAACCTGTCACTGGGCACCACTGAAAGGAGTCTGGCCTCATCCTCTTGACACTCACCCTTAAAGTATTTATAAGCACTGGTGACATCCCCTCTCAGTCTTCTCTTATCCAGACCGAACACACCCAGTTCCCTCAGCCTTTCCTCATAAGGGAGATGCTCCAGTCCCCTCATCATCTTCACTTCCCTCTCTCCAGTAGTTCCTTGTCTTTCCTGAACTGGGGAGCCCAGGACTGGACACTTCAGTACTTCAGATGTGGCCTCACCAGGGCAGAGTAGAGGGGGAGGAGAACCTCCCTTGACCTGCTGGCCACACTCTTCCCAATGCACCCCAAGATACCTTTGACCCTCTTGGCCACGAGGGCACATTGCTGGCTCATGGGCAACTTATTGTCCACCAGGACTCCCAGGTCCTTCTCTGCTGAGCTCCTTTCCAGTAGATGAACCCCCAGCCTGGATTGGTGCATGGGGTTATTCCTCCCTCAGTGCAGGATCCTACACTTACCTTAATGAATGACTTAATGCGGTCACCACCCACAAAGTTAATCTAAACAGACCTCTCACTGAACTCTCGTGTTGACTGTTCTCAGATACTGTTTAGTGTTGATATGTTATTCCACTCAGGTTATAATCGAATGAGATTATGCAGAGAATTTTGAGTTTGATTCACCTTGCAGGCATTCCTAAAGAAAATCTTCTCTCCTCTTCCTCAACACTCTTCTCCTGGTGGATATTTACTTGTGGTCTTGGCTGTTCTCTGCTTTTCAGAGTTTTTTTACTGTTCAATGATTCTTTCCTGTAAGCATCAGGAAAGTCGCGATGACTCTCAAAACATATTTACTTCACCTACCCTAAATCGGAGGTCCTTCTCTGCTGTATTTGAATCTAGGAAAGCTGGAGATATCTGGTCTTAGAACATAGAACACAGAACATAGAACGTAGAGTCGTTTGAGGTGGAAGGGACCTTAAAGACCATCTAGTTCCAACCCCACCTACCATAAAGTGTTGTCTGCTTTGAAAAGAAAACCAAGCTGTACCAAGTTGAAATCAACACTTAGAACAGCAAGGTGCTGATCTCAGCTGAGCTGCCTCTGAAGGTACTAAGCTGTAGCAAGTAGCTTGGTATTTCAAAGAAGGTAATAATAGCATCCATGGGAAACGAACAGGAATGGAACTGTTACCTCTGTGGCTAGCCAGAGGTCAGGTAGAAGCAAGCAACAGCCTGTACTTCTATTTTCTACAGATGAAGAACATCAGAGTTTACTCGAGACAGAAGGACTAAGCAATGAGAAATAAACAAGAGAATTTCATATCACATCCAGTTCAAAGGCT